TAATACTTGGACTGGATGCTTTCGTTTGGACAGGTTCGCCCTGCATGTATGTTTTTTGTTCGCCAAACCGTTTGTAGCCCCACAACTGCTTCGTTTTCTTCCCGGGAACATGTGGCTTTGTCATCCAGCACGCTGAGGGGCTTTGTGGGGTCCAATGACTGAGGGGCTGTGCTCGTCATGAGTCATGACTGAAACCCCACCTGTCCCAAAGCATCGGATCAAGTCAATGCAGGTATTCTTTTGTTTCCGAATCCCTTCTTCAACCGACAGCCATGCCACTGTGTTCGTGCATTTGTGGGAGCGGGAACTTTTGCACTTGAAGTTTGAACAGGCGACTTGAAGTTGCTGAAATTTATTGAGTGGGTCTCCAGGTCTTTCAAAATCTGGAGCCGTCTGGAGCCGCGGTGCAGGGCTGGGCTTGGACACGATCAAATGGCGCCCAATGGTCGTCACTGGCCACGGTCCAACGAGTGACAAGTCGTATGGATGGATTCCGGGAGAAAACCTCCGAGTACATGACGTGCCTTGACCTACCTCAAAAGGGTGCTAAGGACTAGTCACCCAGTTTTATCAACAAGTCATAAGTCATAATGACCAATTGCCCACCTTCTTTGCGGAACACCTCAGAACCAACTAAACTCGGAGAAACCAGCACCAGGAATTTGTAAGAGAGATGAAAAACTCAAAGAATCCGCTTGCCTACAAATCTTTGGACGAAGTGAAAACTAGCATGGCTGGATCATCTTGTGACATTGGTAAAATTCACCAATGCAGGAAAAGGTCAAAATCAAACTGAATTAGCCCTTACATCTGCTCACGGCTATCCGACCTTACGACCTGTCGAAGGCTGGTAATCTGACCTTGAGTTTGCTGGACAGTCTGCGGAGCACTCCAACCGCAACCCAGAATGAAGTATGTGATTCTTCACTAACCGAAGCAGCACACCATGTCTTGATTCTGGGGTGAAAGAAGGTCACTTCTGATACATTTTCCATGGCCCCATGGTCGTACCTAAAGCTGCCCCAAAGATGACCAAATAACCCGTCAAAAACACAAACTCTATTAATATACTGGGTAGGACATCGGCACCAGGCGAAAATATTAGCATTTTCATGGTTTTGGGATATTCATTCAAGGCAGCCTGTGTATATATACAAATACGTATACAAATACACACCGAACTATATCTATCGTAAGTTGCTAGCACTTAGAATATGGACTTTTTCAAGTTTCTTGAAATTGTCATATGCTAAGGGCATGCTGAAAGAACGTTGCTGGCCCCAGTTAGACTACAAGCAGTACATCCAGTTAGAATATGAAGGATATTCAATTGCCGCATAGATTGGGGCGCTTGCCTGCGTGCTCTATGTCTGCATTATAGCTGTTCAAGCTCAAATCTTTACGTATATATAGATTTGAGACCAACTGCTGCCATGCTTGGGTACTTTGCTCTCGGGGGCTTGGCGCTGTTGATGGTTCTGAATGCCATTTGATGTGGGCGCTCTATGTCCAATACCAACGTGTGAAGACATATGGGTTGGGCAAGGAGAGGGCTTACTCTGAGCAGGATGGAACTTTCATTGCAAGGGCAGCAAAGTTCTTCATACTGCTTCGCACCGCTTTGTGAAGGAAGGTCGGGCAGTAGAGCTTTTGCCTTGCGAAAAATGCAAGCAGTACTAGGAAGCGAGGCAAGAGTGCAAACCTTTTGCAAGATATATAGGCTTCCAAGATGGCCAGTTGCAAATCCACCGCGTGTACAGATAAATCTAGGTGTATACCGTATACCTTTAGGAGCTACACGATGCAATCGGGAGAAGAAAAACAACCACGAGCATGAATGACGTCTGCTAGCACAGTTGGCAGCTAGCGGCAATGTCTTCTTTGCTTTTTTTCGGTTAGGTTGATGTGCAGAAAGAATATAGGAGAGGACATCGAGACTGGTGAGACCTTTCAAGCAAACCGTACTGTGTCAAAAACAATGCACAAAATGCAGTGAACAACTACTACACAAATCCCACAAAAGTATCATGGGCGGAGCTTTGCCAAAACAGCTGGGCGAACAGCTAGACAAGCTCTTCTCCGTGTGGTCCAACTGATGCTGGTGGATAATGTGAATGCGCAAGCACGAGATCGCTTGGCGAACAGGCAGCTCCAGAGAGTGATGGATGCACGACCAGCAGGGCCTGACCATAAAGACTAAGACCACCAGCAGCAAGACTGAGGAGAACAACAAGAGTGAAGAGAGGAACAAAGAGTAAGGAAAGCAACCAGATCGAGAAGAACATCACAAGTCCCGTGCAGTTTGACTCTATGCATGATCAACACAGGAATTCGACTGTACAGTACATGGCAGGAATATGGCTTGCGTTGGGTGACTGTTAAAAATACCGCCAGCAGCTGAGCATGCAACTGTCCAGTTTGGTGTGCCCAGGTCTCAACCTATATGCCTGTGACCACGGACCGATTGTATTCCCCATCTTCGAGCAAGACCCCAGCAGGACACCTAGCACCTGTCGCCCGCCGAACCCACTACACTTTTACAAGCGTGTGACATGCGTCAAGTGTTGCAAAACCACCCATGTACGTGTAGTTGCTTTGGTGTCTTGGACTGGGATTCTTGCTTCTCTCACGGGTGCAGGGCCATGACTTCTGCCCTCCTGCCTAGGTTCGTGGGAGGCTATCCAAAGCTGACTTCCGAAGTCTGCTGCCAAGAAAGCAGATATCTCGTATCTTGGCCCACCGGGTTGGCACTGCAGTTCGTGAACGATACCATGTTTACTTAGCATGTTTCTACTAGCTAACTGACGCCTACGGACCTTCTCCGGACAGACGACTACCAAAGCCAACTCCAAGGACTTCGGCCGCCGAGTTCGAGAGAGCGCTTGCCCGAGGTCTTCAACTGCATGTGACCCTCCCACACCCGGCCCCTGCTTGCAGTCCCGTGACTTGCACAACACGAAGCACAGAGGAACCTCGCAAGCCATTTCCACTGAAGGGGTCTTCACCCCAAACACAGTTGTTCTACTACAACCTTACTCATGCCGTCCGTGATGTTGCTCGCCGAGTCACAGATCCTGCGCGCTCTTCGGGCGCACTGTCTTTTACAAGCAAGGACCAAGTCATCTGTGACCTTCGACTTCTGAATTGAAACGTAAGCCTTTAAAGTCTACATCATAGCAATGAACATCGATGCAACACACAGCAATTAGTAACAAATGCTAAACAATACTTTTATACAATGAAAGCATATAAAGTATAGAAACAAAACATATAAGTTCATACCAAAAAACTGATAAACGTATTGAGGGCTTACGCCCGACAGCCGGCCAGGGGCGTCAAGTCAGGGGGCTCGGGGGGGCGAAAGCCGCGGTCGTGGTTGTGGCTGTTGTTGTGGTTGTTGGTGATGGTGTTGTTGGCGGTGTGGCTGTGATTGTTGCTGTTGTCGTGCGCGTCAACATATATGACAAGCTGGGCCAACATAGCCCAAGATAGCGCCAAGATGGGCCAGCATAGGCTCGGGCCAACATAGGCTCAACATGGGCCCAACATAGCCCCGAGATGGGCCAAGAAACGCCAAAATGGGGCAACGCAGTGCCAACATCGGCCAAACATCCGCCCACGATGCAGATGAAGCACACCGGTGCGGCACGCATTTCCAGCATTATTTGGGCCTATGTGGGGCTATGTTGACCCATCGTGAGCAACAAGCGCGAAAAAAAAACAAAAAAACTGGGTCCCGCACCTGGGGTCGGCTACGCTTTCTGCTTCGCAGAAGGAGAAGTGCCTTACCGGCAGGACACTCGTCGCCCCTGGCCGGATATAAAGGGCTTTAACAAGTGATATAGAGACACAGTTGCCACTCCTGAATTGAATATCCCAAAAACCATTCCAGTATAATATATATAATTATATAGGTTTACATACACGTATAGACTCTAAGCTCGAACCTGTGGAACCATCAAAAAGTCTAATTATGTCTAATTGTTTTCATTTACAAGCCGGTGGTGAAGTGGGTGTTTCTTCACATACCGTGGGCAGCGCATCGACTCTTGAAGCAGCCTGAGGTCTCACATTTGGACTTGCACTTTCAGCAAACAACATGAAACATCTCTTCAAGCATCCCTGGCCCTGAATACTCCCCACAAATTGAACCACTCACCTCCATCCGTATCCCAATTTTCCATCGAAACCAAAGCCTTTTTTTGCCACGCGCGCAGACAACACGGCAACAGGTATGCTAATCAAGCAATCCTTTTTCTCTGGGTGTGGCGTGGATTTCATCGTGTCAACACTGTCAAGCTCCATCCGACCTGGCTGTGAAAGCCTGTCTAGCAAGCTAACTGGCTTCTCTTCCATCTTTGCGCTAGCGGGGGTAACAAGCAAAATAAGGCGGAAACCAAAAGGCACGCGCAGTTGTACCCCGGCCGCAAGGTTGGAATGTGGCAAACTTGTATTTACTTGTGGGCCCAGCAAAGAGAGCGCGCTGATGGGGCCACCCATGGACGCTCGTGGGGTGATTAGAGTTCCGTTGTCCTTACGTGAAGCATTCATTGCCCATCCCCCGAAGCATCCGAAGCTGCTGATCCTTAAAGTGAGACAAACACTGTAGACAAAGTGCGGGCCGTCATGTGGAGCCAAGGTTTTCTCTAGACATGGCAAGTGAAAACAACCAAATAACTATAACTGTGAAACGAAACGATCAATTTGCAACACCTTTGCTTAGTAAGTCCCAGCCCACGAGGATCCTAAAACCGTTCTGGCTGTAGGGGAAACCATATCAGCTTGTCAGCCACAAATCTCGGCTCCGCTAGTGTCTCAAGAAGCAACTGACCCAGGCCCGATGGTGCCAATTCTGCGATCTACTGCCCCCGAGTCCCAGTTTTGCACACACACACACTGAAAGGAGAGCTCTATTATGGGTCTACGTACCAATGAAATCCAATGAATAGAGTTTTTTTTTGCATCGCAGGTTCTCTTCATTTCTCCGCCACACACCAATTCTAGTATGAGTACAACGTGACATCGCCCCTCATGTCAGCAAGCGCCAGCATCAAATCTTCCTGCACGCAGGGAGCGAATGGCCAGAAAAAGAATGAACACATCCAGTGTTTGTTACATCGAGTCTGCCCACCTATCCATCTGCAGTCTAAGAGGCTTTAAGGTTTGGCATGGAAAAGAAACTTGGCAAACATCCTGTGACGAATTTCAATGGTTTCTGTAAAAAGGTTCCAAAAGGGATAAGAACCGAGTTCCAATACATACTCTGCTTTTCTGTGAGCCACACTGGATTTTCAGTCATATCCAGTGAAAACTGTCGAAACATGTCAGTCCCTTCCATCGAAAGACTTGGCGAATCTGCGCTGCACCAGCACACCGACGAACGTCCCATTATCCCGAGATATCGGCATATCGGCGCGTCCCTGAACCACAAAGAAGCACTCCCAAAAGCACCATGAACCGATTCAATCCTGAAGACACTTCAACCTCTCTTCATCCAAGACACTTACAGTATATTTCCTTGCAAACCCACAAATGCCCCCCCCAAAAAACAATTACTGTAGATTGTGAGCAGGTCTTGTGGCCGCGGTTCGTTCGTTTGTCAGCGCAAAGGCAGGATGTCACTTATTTCCTGAAGTCTTCCTGTAAGTTGTGGTGTACGGATTGAGTATGGGACAAGGTCTTCCTGCCCGAACCCCCAAAACAAACACGGGTAAGCACCAATCCCAGGTTCCTCTGGGTGAACGCCCATCAAACTGAGCTGTTCTTGCAGCGCAAGGCACGCGGGCCTCAGGCGCACGACTCATCAGCACACGCCTACGATCTGGAATGACCACCTGTGTGGTGGGCGTGGTGTGAGAGGAATCTGTGCGAACCCTGCGGAAACAAGCTTTCTCATCCCCTGAACCACCTCCCAAGCGCCGAGACGTGGTGGTTCGGTTCACGTTGAGGAATCAAGTTAGAGAAAAGCACTATGCAGTCGCTAAAGTGTTGTTATCGGTATCAGCAATCCACCCAGCTCTACAGAAATATCAGCCTCGCGATCTAAGGCACGCGCTTTCCCACTCTTACTGAGAACCCTCACAAGTTGCGAGCAACCTTCGAACAAACACTCCGCCCCTTGAGAATAGGAACAAACAACACCCACTGAAAAGACATTCATCCCAACCCCCAGCCAACAATGTTCGCTACTAGGAACAAGTGCCACGCTTCTAGTAACAAGT